GAGGTCTCGCGGCGGCCGTCAAGGCGTCCGAGTGAGAGATTTCTCTTCATCGCGACGAGCTTCTCGCATTGTGGCCACGCCGCTTGAGACCCATTCAGGGCGGTGACAACGGCGGCCGTGGCTGTGACGAGAGACGATGTCGCGATGCGAGGTCGCACCGTGACATGTAGCAGCTCACGGCCTTCACGACGACATGCGACTGTTATTGCACGGTGCGCGGTGTCTTGGTTGCCTTGGCTAATCTGTTGAGTCGTGGCAGCTAATCTTTAATTGTTCTTTAGGCTTTTAGAGGTGTCAAATGGGTTGTGTAGCGTGGACTTGAGGGTCACGGGGACAGCATTTGAGTGCTTTGTTGTTGTGTTTCGTGTTGTTTATGAATGCCTACCGTTGGTAGAAAAGACGGTTGTATCACTTTCACGAGGAGGCCAATAACACGACGAGGTTTTTCTTAATCAGAACACCGTCGTTTCAGAGGTCACTCACAACAGCCCCACCTCGTGGGGATGTCACGAGCCTCCACTGACCGTCAGAGATGGCAATGGCTTCGGGACGCCTTCATCCAGCAGTGGATCGATCACTGCTGCTGCTGATGATGACTGCTCGATGGACTAATCCGGGCACGGCGTTTCAAACGATGTTTCCATACGTCCGATTAGCACGGTTGGCTACGTGCTCTGCGAAGCTCAACGCACGTACATACAAGCCACAAACGAACCCGTCTCTCGAACGATTATTCCCCCTCTCTCTTTCATCAGCCTGACTCTACACCACAATGCTGATTTTCAACAATCCGGCAATTAACCCCGAATGACCTCATACACGAATAGCAGATGTAAGGGCAATCGCAGGTTCACCACTGACGCTAATGGCACCATGCCTGGCATTGTTCTTCTTGTAGCGGGCCCCCCCCCCCCTTCATTCGCAATCTGACTCCCGGGGTTAATTTGACGACAGACCGACGACCAATCAGCGCTGGAGGTCAGGGATCTCGGGAGGCGCTGGCTGAGCTGGCCGAGCGATTCATGCGGAGTTCCTCGCCAAATATTCCCACCTCCCATTAGCGCGGCTTGGCCACGTACGGCGCGAAAAAAGTTCAGCATAGCAACTTACGATCGTCGTCATCGATCCAGCTCGCGTTTTGCGAACGAGCGACAAAAAAAACTAAATACGCTTTGGATGCAAGAGTTGGCGGATCACGTAAAGAACATTTGTTCAGCTGCCCAAACGCCGCTGGGCTGCAAGGTGACAAAGGCGTGGCAGTACAGCAAGTGGGTTTTGTGAGCGCAGTTCGTCCGTGTCACGCATCGCCCTCTGCGCGTGCTGTCCCCTGCCAGGTTTCCTCCAACACGCGAGATGGGCGCCGTGCTGGACCCGCGCGACTCACACGGAGCCGCGTGTTGGTCAGTCGTAGGACGCCACGGTGGCTAGGAGATGTTAACTACCTCGCCAGGTGTACAGGAGGTCGTGGGTTCGATCCTGACCCTGACGCCTGCTGCTGTACATTTGGAGTTTGCGTGTCTCTCTCTCATCATCATCACGGTGGCTAGGAGATGTTAACTACCTCGCCAGGTGTACAGGAGGTCGTGGGTTCGATCCTGACCCTGACGCCTGCTGCTGTACATTTAGAGTTTGCGTGTCTCTCTCTCATCATCATCACGGTGGCTAGGAGATGTTAACTACCTCGCCAGGTGTACAGGAGGTCGTGGGTTGGATCCCGACCCTGACACCTGTAGATGTGGAGTCTGCATGTTCGCTCTCTCCGTGGTCGTGTGGATTTTTCATCGGGGTCCTCCGGTTTTCCCCTCCACGTTTAGAATCGACATCACGCGTTTGGAGAATTGTTTGGCTGCTATAAATGTCCCGTGTGACAAAGCCACATCGTTGAGCTAACATTATTGTGGCCTGGTCGCTTCTCAAGAATAGTTACATAGCTCAGTGGGCCTTGCCTGGTCAAATGAACATAGTTTAGTTTGCAAGGAGCAGCAGCAGCTGCAGCATTGGCTTTGACAATACCTGTCACACACACGCACACGCACGGCTCAAACGCTCCCCCCACGCCAATCAACAACGTGGGCAACCCAGTGGGACAACTCGGAGCGTGCGACGGCTTCTTTTTCTCCAAGATATTTTTTGTTCCTTCTACGTGATGGAGAAAATAAAATAAACATCTATGGGTGTTTTCTTTGCATTGAAGTGTTCGCAAAATCTTCTGGGACGATTGGTTAATAACCGTGGCGCGTGAGTCGTCAAATTAGACCTTGGCAAAAAAAACATGACTGACTGAGCCATTGATAGATACCCCCAATGAAGTAATCGGGATTCCATCAGCCTACAGAGAAGACAACATTTTATCTCAAAGACTTCGAGACGTCTCCCGCCAATTTCATTGCACTATTTCACAATATTCAATCGACGAGGCGACATCAGAAATCGGCGGGGTATCTATAAATAGATCTGCCCTGTATCACAACACAATCTGGATATGAGAGTACCGGCGGTGTTTTCTCGATACCTCCGATCAATCCTCGCGATTCACCACGATCCGCCTTTTGCATGTCTACCACATAAGGGGGCCTTCCATAAATGACGTCACGCACCTGGGGGGGGGGGGGGGTCAGACATTTGTGACGATGTGTGACGAGGGGGGGGGGGGGGTGAGAAATGTGACGTCACATCAAAATGCGCAACTTTAAATAAATATAGACAACACGTTCTACTGAATTAAATAGACGTTTTGATAAATGTTTTCTCCTACCACATCAGAGTGCAGCGCCACATTAAATACGCACTACAATGACAATAGTTTAAAGCGATTTGAAGCATGTTTTATTTTCAAAATGGAAATATGGTTTTGGGGGGGGGGCAGAGCTTTGTGACTTCATATTTGAGGGGGGGTCTGACTTTACGTGACGCCGTGTGACGAGGGGGGGGGGGTCAAAAATCGTCCAAAATCGCGTGACGTCATTTATGGACGGCCCCTAACATGTTCGTTTCAAAATACAAGTTGTCACGCGCTGCCCGCCCTCGATGTGCAACGGATACGTTCCACGTGACACCTCAGGAAGTGCCGATTCATACTCGGTCATCGTGTCTGCGTGGCTTCCACGCAGACACGTGACGAGCACTGATGCAAATTACGTGTACGGGTGTGTGTGTGCCACGGTGTGGGGAGTGGTAGTGTAGTGGTTAGTGCGCCCGCGCTAGGAACCTGGCAACCCGAGTTCGATTCCCGCTCGCGGGCAACACCAGCGACAATTATCTGAACCGGTCCTGGTGCTCCCCTAGGTCGACTCAGCCTCAAATGAGTACCTAGTGCGATGTGTAAACATCGCCAGGGAGACAAAGGTGGCCGGGCGTGGTGCTGGCCACTCACCCCCTTGTGCGCCGTGTCTTCATAGGTGCTCGCTAACAGCGCTTGCCCCAACAGTCTGTTCTTTGAATGTTTGTGTACCGCGTGACGTGAAGAGCGCTGGTACAAATTTAAGAGATAACGTTATTCGTGTTTACCAATCATCGGGCTCGTGCAGCGTGCAGCGTGTAGTGACTTTGAATCGTATTTGAAGGGCGCAAACGTGGGCCCGTGATGGGTCACGAGGACTGAGATTGAGAGGTCATCAGGGGCAGTACCTTTTGACCTATTTCCTTGACCTATTTTCAAGGGACCCAGTCAAAACTTCCTGCAAGGGGCTTGCGGGGTGGGGTAACTGACAGCATGACTTAACATCCAGCCTGCACATCTCAATGTAATATTCATAAATTAATTCACGTCCATAGAAATAAATATATGCCTTACATAAGTTACGTGTGTGATCTAAATAAATAATGTGTGGGATTTAATTCATATTCATACTGCAGTATTATATATTAATAAAAAATCACGTTGCATTATAGGTCTTTCCAGTGCATACTGAACACAATAAATCACGCAAAAGTTACAATTAATATGAATATTGAGAATAAATAAGGCTTTCCAAACGGAAGCAGGGCTTAATTTCAGCCAGAGCAGTCTGGAACGCTGTTCCAGTGTTTACATTGGCACGTCACACATCGGTCTTGCCCTATGTTTGTCCTCACGATACTGCGGCAGAGTGTCGGAATCGTAAAGGGTACAACATTATAGATATCATTAAATACAGACACACCTTGCACTCTCGTGGTAGTGCCTTATTCCACGCCGGCCTAGCTTGCAGTGGTGAAATATAAAATTAGAGATTAAGCCCGGTATGGAAGCATGCATTTGATAATGGTCACTCTTAATCGATGCTGGTGATGATGAGGGTGATTCTACAGAATTACACCTGGTCAAAGGCAAGCAATATAATGATGATAACACTATGTAACACAATATTTGTTCCTGGGTGTTATTTCCTAATTGCTTATGCCTAAAAAGCATAGAAAATGGCTATTATTCCCCACAAACTTTGTTTTTGTGACCAGGACAGTGATATTTTTAAATGTACCTATTTTCCAGAACATTCCAGATAGATTCAGTGCTGAGTATAAATACAGGGCCTTAAGCCCACTAGTTCAGTTTAGTTCCAGCTGCCTAAGTGGATACATTTCTGCATTTTTCTGAGATTGCATCAAGAGGCTGCAAGCATCCGGCAGACGCATTTTGCTACATCTGTGGCCAATTTATCAAGACAGGAGCGAAAAAGTACTCTGTGTACTTTTGCCATTTTCTGTACTTTTGAGGCATAAGCAATTAGGAAATAACACTTACTACCCAGGAACACGAAAAAAATTTGTTACACAGTGTAATTGTAAACAATGGCAATCGCTTACCGTTACAACTGCGCCAGGACCTAATTGTGCTCAACATATCACGACACTTCTGTAATCGCTAGTTGGTTATGGTTGGGTCAGTGGGAGGGCTAGTCCCCGTGTTTGATTGGCTGGCTGGTTCAGGTCAGGGTCAGTGGGAGGGCTAGTCCCCGTGTCTGATTGGCTGGTTGGTTCAGGTCAGGGTCAGCGGGAGGGTTAGTCCCCGTGTCTGGTTGGCGAGTTACTGAGAGTCAGGCGTAGTAGGGCTAACGCTAGGTTAGAATGTTCTACCCCGAAGCTGCTCGCTCCCCTCCCTCCCTAACCACCGCGATGTGTGTGTGTCTGTGAATGAATGTGCTTTTCACCGTATTTTGTATTCGCTTCTGATGCTCACACCGCCCGCGACCTCTTTCTGCTCTCCGAAATAAAGCGTCCCGCGTCCCCGGGCGGTGGTGCGGGCCGGCCGCTCGCGACTGGCCCCGTGTGCGAAATTCGGCCACGCCGGAGGGAAGGCCCCTTCCCTCCACGAGGAAGACGAGAAATCAGAGGAACAAGTAGTAGCACCAGTAGAGGAGGTTCACGAGTACAAACAGGAGGGGGAAGGCCTTCCTGGAGTAGTTGTCGATGTGGTGAGGGTTCCGGACGGTGCAGAAACCGCCGGCTCGGCGACTTGCAGCGCGGGTCGTGGGCCACGCAGCCTGCGGGGGCACCGAGACCACCCCGGGGGGCGGTCGGCTCCCGTCCGTCGGCAGTGGGGGCGCGTCCCGGGCGGACGCGGATCTGGAGGAGGCGGAACGGCGTGCTGGTCGCTCTGCGTCGGCGTCCGCGCGCGAGACGGAGGAGACGCTGCCGTTCCTGTCGCGGCCGTCGTCGTGGGAGAGGTCGTCCTGGATGGAGGCACGCACACAGATCCCCCGCATAGCCCTTAACAGACTCTTTGGGACAAGTGCTGTGAGCAAGGACCTATGAAGGTGTAAACACTGGGGGGGACAAAGGAACACACACACACAACAACAACCACCATTCGCCACTAAGTGGCAGTGACATCACCGGTGAGCTTGTGCCAGGCTATGTGAGCTTTAAGGCCACGTGAAGTGTCGAAGGCTTGCTGGCAGGAGGGATAGACCCAGGTGCCATGGGCTGACTGATTGAGATGACTGGCAGATGCACCACCCACACACTCACACAAATACAAAGACAAAAATCCCCCGTATAGCCTGAGTGATGTTAGCGAGCACCTATGAAGGGCGCAACGGTACACGATGGGGTGGGTGGCCAGCACCACACCCGGCCGCTTTTGTCTCTCCAGTGGCGATATTTTTACACGCGATAAGGTACTCATTTGAGGCTGAGTCGACTTAGGGGAGGCCTAGGGACGATTCAGATAATCGTCACTTGGCGTTGGCCGTGAGTGGGAATGGAACTCGGGTCGCCGGGTTCGTAGGGCGGCCGCGCTCGCCGCGACGCTACCGCACACTCACTCACAGACCCAAACAAGAAGACAAAGATAGAATCGGCACACACACAGAGGCGCGTGCGCCTCTCATCTCACCGGCGTCGCCGCGTCGTGGTGGTGCAGCGTGCAGAAGTGAGCCACCGCGTACTCGAGCAGCGCTCCGAAGATGAAGCTGAAGCAGATGCCCAGGTAGACGTCGATGGCCTTGATGAAGCAGTTGGCGTTGGGCAGCGACGCGCGGGCACCCATCATCAGCGTGGTCATGGTGAGCACTGTAGTGACGCCTGCACGCGACGGCGGCTGGACAGAGGAGAGCCCCGAGACATTGTTGACAGGTGGCGGGTGGGAAAAGATGGGGGCCCGCCTGTAAAAACAAAATTGCTGCGCGAAGCTGCCAGGAGATGGCGATGAGCCGTTCAATCCATCTGTGCGGAATTTTGGATGTTAGCCACTCGCATTCGTGGTGGGCTTTTTGAGGACGGGGCCACCCGTTGATACTTAAAACGTCGAAAGAAATTTGCACCTGGAAAGAAATAGGCCGCGGAGGAGATGGCTTTGATGAGTGCCACACCCTCGCACGATTGGTGGGTTCTTTTCCCAGCGGATTTGCTTCCCTCCCACGCATGAAGCCAGTCGCTCATTGGTAGCGTGGGACAGTGGTGCTCAACCTTGCTTGGCTACTCTACCCCTTGTTGGCTTTTGTTTCAACCGAGTACCCCCCTTGCCTGACCGAACATGGTTCTGAGCAATAAATACATGTACGAATAACGAACATCAATAATGTAAAACATATTGAGCACAATTAATCTGACAGTCTAAGGCACATTTACAAATCATCTCACCTACCACCCTAAGACACTGCCATTACCCCGAGCGGTCCACATACTCCCGGTTGTGAACAACTGGCAGAGTACAGGACGGAGTGCGTGGGGTGGCCTTCAAAAATAATTTCTGTCGCGGGCCCTCAATGGGGCCGGTACCACCACAGCCCCCACCCCCTCCACCGCTCACCGATGCAGATGCGAGCTGGCACGGAGGACTGGCTGATCCAGAAGGAGACCCAGGAGAGGACGACGAGGAGGATGGAGGGCACGTAGGTCTCCAGGATGAAGTAGAGGATGTTCCTCCGCAGCACGAAGTGGAAGACGAGCTTCGGGTAGCGCCCTGCGCGCGCCGGGCACCAAACGCGCGGGACGGGACAACATCGCGGGGCGGTGACATCACGGCCCGGTAGTACGTCCTGTCGCTGCGGGTTCGCGGTTCAAATCCAGCGGCTGGCCTGGATATTACCAGGCCGCCGCAGTGGTGAGATGGGAACTGCATTGCCAGGTATGGGTTCGATTCCAACCCTGATGCTTGCTATATATGGTGGAGTTTGCTTTTCTCCAGGTCCTCTGGTTTTTCCCTCCACATTTAGAATCGCCATCCATTTAGAGTATTTGGATGCTATACATTTCCACGTGATGATAAGAAGCCATTTCGTTGAGATATCATTTTTGATGGCGAGGTCGCTTCTGAAAAAAAGCTATGAAGCTCCGCGAGCCTTAGCTGGTAAAATGCAATTGTAGTAGTCGTAGTTTTACCACAGTTGCAATAACCCGTCATAATAAAGCAACTACTACTACTACGCGCCGCCTGCTTAACTCACAGCAGACGTTAAAGATCCTTTGGCGTCAGCGTCCAAATTTGCCAAATGCGAAAATGACCGAGCAGATTACTCATTACGGATTACACGCACACAGCGGCAATCATCGCCTCCACCCCCCCACCCCCCCACCCCATTGGCAGACCCATGCCCCCAGGTCACCCCTGCAAATGAAGCTGTGATGGTCTCTTGAGTTCTCACCGCGTTAAAAATAAACTTTAAACTTATCTTCACACGCCGTTTCAAAGTTTTAATGGCCTTCAGATGTGATTGCAACTCGTGTGGACAAAAGATCAACGGATCAAAGGAAGCGTGTAAACAAACGAAACATTCGCTCCCCGTGTTGTTCCCTCGTGCATCTCTCGTAGCCCCCCAATCGTATAAAGTATTTCTGGGCAAGTCCCCCCCGTCCAGGTACGACAACTAGGACGGCTCCGACTCTCACGAGACGATTTGACCGTGTCCGCGTGCCCGTCCCCGTCTTGCCTGTCTCGTACACGGCCTCCGACACGGATGTGAACTGCTCCTCCACCGTGTACTGGGCCAGGCGGAGGTTCTCCAGACCCCGCACGGAGTCGTTTCCCCGCGTCCAGTAGAAGACCATGTCGTCCGTGTTGTAGCCCCCTGCGGTACGCGCACACAAAGACAAATATCCCCCGTATAGCCCAAGACAGTGCTGGGGCAAGTGCCATTTGTAAGGAGGGCATATGAAGGGCGATATGGCACACGAGGGGGTGGGTGGTCAGCACTATGCCCGGCCACCTTAGTTTGCCGAGTGGCGATGTTTACACATCGCACCAGGTAGCCATTTGAGGAGGCCCAGGACCGGTTCAGATAAGGGGCCGTCCATAAATGATGTCACGCGATTCTGGACGATTTTTGACCCCCTCCCCCCCTCGTCACGTGGCGTCACAAAAAGTCAAACCCCCCCCCTCAAATATGACGTCACAAAGCTCTGCCCCCACCCCCCCCAAAAAAAACATGCTTCAAATCGCTTTAAACTATTGTCATTGTCATGCGTGTTTAATGTGCCGCTGCACTCTGATGTTGTCGGAGAAAACATTTATCAAAAAGTCTATTTAATGAAGTAGAACGTGTTGTCTATATTTCTTTAAAGTTGCGCATTTTGATGTGACGTCACATTTATCAACCCCCCTCCCCTCGTCACACATCGTCAAGAATGTCTGACCCCCCGCCGCCCAGGTGCGTGACGTCATTTATGGACGTCCCCTAATCCTCACCGGTGTTGGCCGTGAGCGGGAATCGAAATTGGGTTGCCGGATTCGCAGCACGCTCACCGCTGAGCCACCACTCGCTCACACGCACGCTCACACGCACGCAAGCACGCACACACGCACGCTCACACGCACACACGCTCGCACGCACGCTCAGACGCACGCACACACGCACGCTCACACGCACACACGCTCGCACGCACGCTCAGACGCACGCACACACGCACGCTCACACGCACGCACGCAAGCACGCACACACGCTCACACGCACACACGCACGCTCACACGCACACTCACACGCACGCACGCACACACTCACACGCACACACGCACGCATGCACACACGCACGCACGCTCACACGCACGCTCACACGCAAGCACGCACGCACGCTCACACGCACGCACGGGGCAACAGTGCGTCACGTGGCGACGACTTCTTGGCGTGAGCGAGTGCCGCACTCACAGCTCTCCAGCTGCAGGGTGCACGACTGCTTGTCCATCGGGTACTTGGTGAGGTCCATGTTGCACGCCACCGTCGCGGTTATTCTGCGGGGGGTGCGGAACGAGCAACGCCATCGACATTTACTCCTGGCGTCCAAAAGGCTGCGTCTCCAGACAGACGCCTCGCAGTTTAGCTGAGTGTGTTTTTTTCTGCGTGTTTATTTTTTGTCGAGGCACTGTGTGCGGGCCCGTGACATCACGTTATGACGCACACGCAATCATCAACACAAATGCCAGGGGATAGAAAGATGGGCAACGGGCTCTCTGCCACGTAGCCGAGTTTACTTTGATTCGTTCTACACGGATGACCGGTCCCGTTTTAGCCGGTTGCCCCGGCTACTTGACCAGGGAGATCTGTCTGTGGTGCGACTTGAGACCTTGCAGTCACTGTCGGAAAGCACGAGGTTGCCTCGTGACAGCGCGAGACAGGGAGCAGAGTGAGCATTATGCAAGATCGCAGTGAGTACCCTTCGTCATCTTAACACGAGTTTTCAATGGTTCTAAGGGTGTCATTTCTATTGTTTCCCCCGGTGCATTCTGTCTCGTATTGGGAGGACTGGGAAGATAGGCATTGATTTGTTGAACAATAAATGTCAGTAACTTCAATGAATAATCATCAGTCGGTTCGTGGCATCACGAATCGACTATTCTCTTTGTCTAATTTTGACTGCCTCGTTCGATCCCTCTCGTTTCTGCAGTCGTGTTCACTCCATTGGCCCGGACGTGACTCTACGCCATCCGCTTCACAGCAAACATCAAAGATCCCGTGACGTAATTCGCAAGAGTCGGCTGTTGTGCGTTGGCATCATGGTCCAAATTTGGAAAATTTGAAAAATGACATGCACATTGCACACTTTACTGGGTGTGTGTCCAGATGGCAGGAATCGATTTGTACCGAGATCTGGTCGCGGAATTTCACTGAACATTGCAGTAGCGAGATGGACACCAGGGTGGCGTGATGTTAACTACCTCGCGTGGTATACAGGAGGTTGTGGGTTCGATCCCAACCTGTATAATTAAAGTTTGCATGTTTATTCCTGTGCTCGCGTGGATTTCTATCCAGGTCCTCCGGTTTTTCCCTCCACATTTAGAAACACGCGTTTCGAGTACTTGTCTGCAATCAATTTCCACATAACAAGCCAGCCACTTCGTTGAGCCATCATTTGTGGCCAGGTCGCTTCTGAAAAAGAACTTCACAGTTCTGTGGGCCTTACCTGATAAAATAAAAAAAAGTTTCGTTTAGTTACTGACAGATTCTAGATTTGAAGCTTTCGTGACTGCAATGATTCATACTCTTAGGTTTTTTTCCGGTAAAGTCAGGTCGGTAAAAAATTTAAATTAATAAAAGTAAAATAAAACACTTTTATTAATTAATTTTTTTTTACCTACGTGACTTTACTGACAGATATCGCCGGCTGAGAAAAGTGGTGCGAACTTGGTCAACGGTGGCCTTAGGTGGCATCCTGCGTGGCCGCCCTAGCCGTGGCGAGTTTGGCCCCCACCCTCCACGCCCGCGCCCGGCGGCGGCGGCGGCTGCTTCGGACCTGAGCGCGTACAGCACGGTGCCGTTGGGGAAGATGCGGATGAGGCGGTTCTCCACGGTCACGGCGTGCAGGAAGGAGCGCTTCGAGTCCACGATGAACGTGTCGGGCACCCAGAGCAGCTCCACGAGCCGCCCGTCCAGGCTCAGGCTCTTGTTGGCGTCGAAGCAGAGCCGCTCGTCTACCCAGCGCTGGCGCAGGAAGATGGTGGCCGTGTAGTCCTGCCCCGACAGAAAGGGAGGCGTCAATGTGGCGAGGCACGGTCGGGGTGGCGTGGGGGGGGGGCGGTGACAACGTGCCGGCACGCTACGGCACGCCGTCACGTGTGCACGTTGAACTTCTTTGGCACCGTACGAGGCTAACCGTGATAATCGGAGGTGTGGGGAGGTAAACACGCGACGTTGGAGGTCCAAATGTATACCTATGTCTCGAATTACATAATACCCATAGAGCAATTAGGGTAAAATTGTGGATAAAGAAAATAATAATAATATACTGTATAATGAATGGTAACAGCAGCGCTAATTGGCATTGGAGACAGCGGGAGAGATCACGATGCTGCCGCCGTTCACAGCCGCGACTGCACCCATTAAATCTCGCTCAGTGGAAGTGAACACAATCGCTTGTGACCCCCAATCAGCACCCGCGCCTCCATAACCCCGGTGATCACCCCCCCCCCTTCCCCACCGCCACCCCCTCCATTGGACGCGTCTTCAGGACGAGCGCTCACGCAAAGCTCGCGGTGGTGACGCCGCGGTTCCCCGTCTCGATCGGCGTCGTTCCGCGCACTCAAAGAAAACAATCCCTCGGCCGCGATGGACATGGAGGCGTCGCACATCGACGGCGGATTAACGGCGCAGCGGAGCGTCGGGGCTTCTTTGTTTGCCAGCGGCAATCGAACGTTGTTTGTCAATTGCGGTGGCAATTTTTTACGCGTGGGCGGCCGACGCGTTAATGCTCGGCGAGTGGGAGACACGGGCGGAGAGGAGGTGCCTTAGTTACAACGATCGCGACGACCTCCGATAAGCACGGGTGGCTACGTACGGTGCGGAAGAAGTTCAGCGTGCGTGCGTGCGGCAAAGTCCGTGCGCTGGTCGCCCAGTTGGTTTTCTCGAGGCGGCTGTTGTTGTTGTTGTTTTTAAACACGGTTGCTGACCACAGGCCCAGGGGCTCAATGTGTCAAGCGGCTAGGAAAAATCAGTTGAAGCTTGAACATTAAGGGAATTGAATGGTAAAATTGCGTCACGTTATATATGCACGTGTGTGTGTGTATATATATATATGCACGTGTGTGTGTGTGTATATATATATGCACGTGTGTGTGTATATATATGCACGTGTGTGTGTGTGTGTGTATATATATGCACGTGTGTGTATATATATATATGCACGTGTGTGTGTATGCTCGTACCATGTTGATTTCCGAGATGCTGTCGATGCTGGCGATGTCCAGACTCATGCCGACCACCACGGATCCCTCTGCACAGGGTCCGCGCGCGCGGGCGGGCAAAAGCTCCGTTAACTGCGAGTCACTGAAGCCACGCGGTGTCACAGTTAGAGCTTCGGATGGGCTGCACCTCGAACTAGAGAACGAGTGACGGACGCAAGCAGTGGAGCGGTCGGGTGGCTCGGGATCACAGCCATGGGGTCAGAGCCACGGGGTCACAGCCACGGGGTCACGGCCACGGGGTCAAAGCCACGGGGTCACAGCCACGGGGTCAGAGCCACGGGGTCAGAGCCACGGGGTCAAAGCTACGGGGTCACAGCCACGGGGTCAGAGCCACGGGGTCAGAGCCACGGGGTCAGAGCCACGGGGTCAGGGCCACGGGGTCAGAGCCACGGGGTCGGCAACAACGCCAGAATCCTGAGTTCAGATCTGGGTTTCAGCCACCCGTGATTTCGTCGGCTTCTCGCGTGCGATGACTTCGTGGTCTCAGCTCAGTTATCAATATCTACACGACAAACGTCGTATTACGTTTGTTTTGATTGAGCTCAATGTAAACGTATCGGCGTGAATGCGCTGTGATGAACGTTTCCCTCCAGCAGAGGGTGTAGGAAAGCGTGGGGAGGAGAAAAAAGGTCACCCGGGTGGATCTCAGAAGCAATTTGGCGATGTCTGCCGCCCCCGCCCCCGCCCGCCACAAATCGTTCTCCAATGCACGGGGTGAGCGACTGCTAACCGAGAGTTGCAAATGGAACCTTTTCTCGGCATATTGGGAGCAATATTTGAAAAAATGTTTTTGTGTTCGTGCAGAGAAGGCGAGCGTTGTGAACTGTTTTTTGCGTGTTTCTTTGTCATTCACCCCCGCACCTCTGTCGGCTACGTACGGTGCGAAGGAATTCCAACATACGTACAGCATCGTAATGACACACGAGTGATCTGTTGCGTGGCAGTGAAATGCCCCGTGAGTTTGCGATGTCGATCGGTGTGACCTGAGGTGAGATTTCACTTGGCAGATTTTATGCAGCTGGCCGCAAGGTGTCGGCAATAACATCTGTCCGTGAAACTAGTTTCAAGGCTGAGCCAACCTAGGAGAGGCTCCACGCCGCATCGGACGGACGTTTGGCTGGGCGCGGAACCAATTTCTAACCAACGGGGTCGTCATGAGTGTCCCCACTCGTGGGCGCGATGCGCCGCGGCCGACGGAATTGAACTGCCACGAGGTCACAAACAGAGCACGGGTCACGCAAAGAAATTCAAGTTCAATTATGAAGCCTTCAGCGCTCCCCCTGCCCCCACCGCCCCACATTTCTGCGCCGGGGAGAGAGAAAGAGAGAGAGAGAGAGTTCTATTGAGGCGGCGTGATTGAAGCTCCGTCAAACGGCTTCGTTTGTCAGAGGTCACGGACCTCGTGTGAGATAGGAACGAGAGGGGGCAGAGCTCGCTCAGTCGCACTGGGAGACGCGGGTTTTCTGGCCCAGGGTGCGGGGGGGGGGGTCAGGGGTCAGGGTCAGGGGGGAGTCGAGAACTAAGGAAGGAGCGGCTCGCTCTCCATGGGTCCGTAGAGTAGGAGTTGGTGCAGCGAAGCAATGGAAACTCTGGCTGCGCGAAACCTTTCGGCTGCGAACGCGCGGGGAATCCGCAAACCTACGCTCACTCGAGCGCGAAGAGGGGAAGCGAGCCAAGCGACGCTGCGCTTTGCTTCGCAATTTCGAGATTCTGAACGAAACCCCCCCCCCCTCGTCAAATGCGCGCACGCGAGATCCATTGCAGGATGCATCACCGACTTGTGGGAGAGATGGCACGAGCACAGTGCCAAAGTGTGTCGTGCGATCCTCCTCCACCCGACGCAGCTGAGTAAATAACGTGAGTCACGCGACAGTTGTATATCTGCTTGGCTGTGTCGGGTGGGTGGAGGAGGCTATCCGGCGCACGTTGGCATTGTTCCCCACGTGGCGATCTGACCCACACATCAATTAGGAATCATATTATCGGTCGCGAAAGCCCCTGCCATCAAAATGATCTGATTGCTTATTAACGTATTTTTTGTATTATTTCAAGCGCATTGATTAAAGGCGCTGAATCACAGCACAATCGAGAATCCATCAGTGTGTCATCACTGTATCGTTTCATCGAGGGTTAATCGAGGGTTCCCACGCTGCCTCTATTCATTGGCAAACGATCCGTGGAAAGCGTAATCCCACTGTTTAGTGTCGCGTCGTGTGAACCGCCTGCTCTGTTGTGATTGGCCAATATCTGCACGATCGGTGGTGATTCGGTCGCAATCCGTTCCTATCGCGCATGACACAGCGCGCCCTATAAATATAAAATAAGATAAGGAGACGGAGCGATGGGATCAGTTCGACTCGTGAAGGTGCATGTGGTTTGCCCTGACTTGAGGTTTGTTTCTGGGGATAGGGTTGCATCTCAGAATTTGAATTTGTATTTCGACTGAATGAGGAGGAGGAATCCGATGAGCTATGAAGCTCTTTGTCACAGATCTCCAGCAGGGGCGGGTCAGCAAGTTACAGCAACAAACCGAACAAACAAAACCCCATAGGAGTGCAAAATAGAGAAAAGGTAAGCTAAGTCACTAAAAGTAATTAAATATAAATAAATTATATGATTACGAATTGAATAAGTTCATAAATTCCTGACGATTTTCCCAACACTAAATGCAAGCTTGGGGAAAGGCAGCAAAACAGCAAGAAAACCAGTCCCAGAGCACACCAAGACAACACCACAGTAAGCCCCTCAATAAAATCGCACATTCCAACTGCACTAGTCGAAAGCACAAGTCGACAGGATCAGAGTTACACACCGCGGATGTCCCTTTCGAGCGGGCGAGTTGAGGCGCGATCCGAGTTCGCGCGGAGAGACACAAATCACACGCGCGCGGATGCTCTTACCTTCGAACGAGGGCCTCAGGTAGCGGTTGTAGCCCTTCATGAGCTTCTGCACGGTCGGTGGGAGGGTCTCGGCGTGCCTCGGGCTGGGCTCGCTCTGGCCGCTGCAATTTGCGTCAGAGTTGCGTCCGCTGATGTCGCGTGAGCTCCGGTCATCATCACAGCAGCGACAGCGGTGACGGCGGCATTTTGGCTTGGCTTGGCCATCGAACAAAGACGGTCACCGCGGCCGTCTGGAACGCTCTCCTTTTCGATGTTAGGAAGCCACTGGAGCTATACACTTTTTTTAAACCGTATAGATTGAAAGCTCATTTCTTTAGAACTGCTTTTTGTGTTTAGTTTGTTGTCCTTCCCCCGCACTGCCGATTAGCACGGTTGGCTATGTACCGTGCGAAATAAGTTCAACATGCAATTACATTACAGCATTACTACAGCCCCTTTGTCAATCTACCGCTGGATGGAGACGTCTCCCTGCCGTGTCGGTGAGAGGAGACGGTAGGGGGGCAGTGGTTTGATTGGCCATACTTTCATGCGTATGGTACCGTGCAGCTTTGTGAAGCAGGATAGGAGCTTGGGCTGAGACATGTGGTGCGTGGCTGGGTGGAAAGAGCATCATTCGCGTACTACCGCATGACTAGTCATAGGTTTTTACCCTTTCATCTGGCACCAAAACTGACACCTTTATACAAGGGATCATGTTTGCAATAACCACAACACAATGCGGTCAAATTGCAAACAAAAAGAGACAACTCTGATAATGATATGCACTGTCCTTGAAATTGATTGGTCCACACCCGAGACGGCTTTTCTTAGAGCCCGAGTCTCCACTGGTGTTGGACCAGATGACTCTGTAGTCTATGGGCAACGTGACAGGTTTTTCTTTTTTTTTTAATCTGGCCACATCTTCCTTGAAGCAAAATGTCATGCTCGATTGATGACAGTGAGATCTGGGTCACCTGTTATGAAAACTGGGGCTCTCAAATGTAGTGGGTTGATGGTCTCAGCCCAGTGACTGCGCACAAATGAAAAAGCCATCGCATTAAGTTTGGTTCTGCACTTAATTTTCGGCCTAAATTTCACCTCTGAGAATAAAAAATAAAGAATTAGTTTTGACTGTCACGTGACGAACATTGCTCACACAGTGACGCAAAGCGGGTACGAAAGTGCTTCTCCCGACCATGAAGATAATCTCAGAGGTAGCTCTGCAACATCCACTTCCATGGGTCGTCATTTAAAAATTGAGGGTTGCACTGACATAACGCCGATTAGCACAAGGGAAATAAAAAAACAATAATTGTGAAATAGATACCTGTAAAATTAAATGGATATGAATAGTAATGTACGTACGTATGTTGAACTTCTTTCGCACCGTACGTAGCCAACCGTCCTTAATCGAGAATGAGTTCCATACTTCACGGGACTCACCTGAACATCAGGAGTAACGGCAGGAGCAACGGCGCACGCACCACGGCATCCCACATCGCGAGAGAGACCCGGGAGATGCTGGAGCGGCTTGGAGCAGGCGAAGAATAAATCTGGAGAGATACATACATATACATGAGTGAACGATGAAATCAAAGCGAAATGGTAATTCAGTCGCTTTGTGCGAGATTTGGCTGTAATCGATTGCGATCCAGCTCTAGAGAACAAGATCCCGGCCCTGGCTATAGCCCCTGGAGATCAACGATTGATGACAAATCACCTTCTCTGTAACCTCTCATCCTAACCCCGATTAGGCAACGCTTATGCGTCCACTGATCGGACGACAACCGGACAATTAGGGTTAAGCTAGAGGGTCAGGGTTAACAGTTCGGGTCAAATGTGCGACTCTTTCTGTTTATCTCTCTAGCCAATGGCAGGTCTCCGGCTCAAACTAAAACTCCCTCCATCATTGTCTGATCTCTGGAGCTTTCCTCTGTCACGGACGGCGATGATACGACACAATCACCCGGCGCAGCGGGGCGTAATTTGCAGAGTTAGTTTTGCGTTGGTACTTGCGACATGTTGAAATATAAAATAACAATGATGGTACATCTATACGAATACACATCGAGATGAAGGCCTCCCCATACTATGTTAGTCATGGAGGTTCAGAATTAGAATATTTATCTAATAGAGCCGTGTGCTAAGCACCGCACCACCTCTCCAACAGTATAAATATACCTTAATGTATTTGCATAATGCATTATTCACTGCAGTGGTGTGTTGTGGTTATTGAATAGGCAAAGGAGTGGGGTTTTCTGTTTTAGCGAATGCTCCTGGAAAACTAACCGAAGTTGAATTTGCTTGATATATTTTTTTATGCAGTGGACACATTTTATTTGTCATGCTTATTTATTAAACATAAGTGTTTAAATGTCTTTGCTCCTCAATCAACCGCTCTGTGCTCGCTTTCAAAGAGCTCCGTGAATGACGCGAGCGACACTCGCGTTTAACACAATGTCCAGAGCAATGTGAGCCGATCAATCAACGATCTTCAATCGGCAGCAGGTGAGCGAGATCCTCTGAGACCGGAGATTCTCCTCTTAGTTCTTTCGGTAAAGTCACGTAGGTAAAAAATGAAATAAAAATTACTACAAATAAAACAATAACAATCACGACGTTTCGGAGGCAACACAAGTCTCCGTCATCAGGTGCAGCAAATCTGGCTGTGACGGTCCCACCTGATGACGGAGACTTGTGTTGCCTCCGAAACGTCGTGAATTTTTTTGTTTTATTTTTATTAATTTTACGTGACTTAATTCTACGTGACTTTACCGAAAGAACTAAGAGTATGAATCCTTGCAGTCACGAAAGCTTCAAACCGGAGATCCTCCGTGTTGTATTCCGGCGACCTGACCTTGACAGCGTTAAGCTCCTCTCGTGTTGCACCTACACGAACCCTGCGTAATCAACGTTTTTGGGTTAAGATCGCGTTATTTATAAATGTGTCGTAACCCTCCACCACCCGACACGGCCAATCAGTAAAAAAGTGGCACGTTTGACAAAAGACAAATAATTCACTGCTTTAGCCCAACGGTGTGTTGAAGCGTGAAACCACAACATTTAAATTTTTTTAGTACGACGTTTCGCTGGTAATTGCATCCAGCATCATCGGGCAATTCGCCATTCTGCGGCCACCTTCTGGCGAATTGCCCGATTATGCCGATGATGCTGGATGCAATTACCAGCGAAACGTCGTACTAAAAATTTGTAAATGTTGTGGTTTCACGCTTCAACACACCGGTGGGCTAAAGCAGTGAACTATTTGTCTTTTGTCAACGTGACACTTTTTTACTGATTGGCCGTGTCGGGTGGTGGAGGGTTACGACACATTTATAAATAACGAGATCTAAACCCAAAAACGTTGATTATGAATAATATTGGTCGCGAAAGCATACGTGTTAAACTGACGAACCCTGCGATCCACATCAATTAAATATTCGGGTTAGTGCCACAATGATAAGAATATTAACGAAAATGTGCAGTCCTCTGTCAATCCACTGCTGGCTCAAGGCCTCCCCCACGCCGTGTCGGTCGTTATCGGTTGTGTGACCATACTTCACCATGCTGGACAATGCAGAGAAAGCAGAGGGGGGGGGGGTGGCACAGCCGGTTTAGATATCACTCGCCACTGATGTTAGCCGTGACTATGTTTCCACGGTAGGAGGTCGTTCTCTCACCAATCTTGTCCATCAGCCATCACAGCAGAGGTCGCAAACGGGTTTTGATTCCTTACCCGTACCCGGCCGCACCAAGGTCGCAAATGGGTACCCGATACCCGTACCCGGCCGGGTACGGGTATCGGGTACCCGGTTGCGACCTCTGCATCATAGTGGCTTCAGGCTATCCAACAAAGACGGTCACCGCATCGCGCGCTTTCAGATGCGCTCCTGCGGCCACCTGCAACGCTCTTCCTTCCAATACTCGGAAGCCGCTGGAGCTACGCACTTTTAAATCATCGAGATTGAAATCCCATTTCTTTACAACAGCTTTTTGTGTTCAGTTTATCGTCCTCCGATTAGTGTGGTTGGCTACGTATGGTGCAGAAGAAATTCAACAAACATACATCTCAGAGTCACGATTATGTGTCATGCTCAAGCCCACTGTATGTGTGTGTGTCGGCCTCTCGCTCAGGATGTCTCTCTTCGTGTGTGCGTCTCTCTCTCTCTCTTTCCGTGCTCTCTGCGTGTCTCTCGCTGTGCCACCTTCCGCCTCTCTGTTTCTGTCCATTTCTCCGTGTGTCTTTCTTTGTGTGTGTGTGTCTCTCTCTGTGTCTATCTCCTAAATGCCTCTAAACCTGTCTGTACAGGACGCGACGCAGCTTGGATCACCTCTGCTCGCAGTTCCATAACTATTCGCTGCGGTGCCAAGCTAAGTGCTCCTGACAAACGAGACGACGGCGACGATGATGATTAGAACGAGGATGAGATGGTGATTGTGAGATGATGATGATGACGATCATCATGATGAACATGACCAATGATGGCATGGCGATAATGATTAAGACGATAACATGACGATCTTCTTGGTTCTTTCGGTAAAGTCACGTAGAAGGGAAGTAATAAATCAAATAAAATAATAAAAAATAATAATAAAATTATTTTATTATGTTTTATTTTTATTATTTTATTACTTCCCTTCTACGTGACTTTACCGAAAGAACCAAGAAGATGAATACCTGCAGTCACGAAAGCTTTAAATCGAAACATGACGATGTTTTGTTTGCATCGCACACGCTCGTCTTGCCGAGTCAAGCGACAGCCGCTTCATGAGCAGCGTGGGAGGAAGGGCTCTGGGACCATCGCCGGGACTGGACGTGGGCCCCACTCTTGGGCCACGTGCGATGACACCTTTTGTCTGTCTGTCGCTGACCACATCCACAGCGGGTTGTGGTCACGACGGCCCCGGGTGGAGGCAGTCCGTAGAGGCTGGCCGGGATGAGTGACCGACCGTGGCATCATCATAAACGATGCAACTAAAACTTGTATTTTACTAGGTAAGGCTATATCGCGATTTTTTTTTCAGAATCCACCAGGCTACAAGAGACAGCTCAACGAAGTGGCGCATCACGTGGAGATGTACGGCAGACAAAGACTCCGAACACGTGATGTTCATTCTAAATGTGGACGGAAAAACCGGAGGACCCGGAGAAGAAACCACGCGACCACGGGGAGAGAGACACCGCAAACTCCAAATATACAGCAGCAGGCGTCGTGGTCGGGATCGAACCCACGACCTCCTGCACACCAGGCGATGTAGTTAACATGTCGCCATAACGACGCCCTCTAATGATCATCATCATCAACCCTAAGTTTGATCATGATGAGGTGACATGGTGATGATCATTATGATATGAGGGTTAAATGATAAGGATGGAAATGCTTCACAATATTGTTGGTTACAGAGCTAGCCGACCGCGAAATCCGGATCGACTTGAGACTCTACACGAGAATTTCTCAGGACACAAACCAATACCAATACATCAGCTGCTCACCCCCCTCCCGCCCCTCTCCCGCACCCCTCCAGCCCCCCCCCCCCCCATTAACACCGACATTCGCGTTTGAGACGGGAATCGCTCTTAATTATAACCAGAACCTTCAATTACCAACTCCCTCCCGTACCCACGGTCTGATTGCATTTTCTGCGTGTTTTTTTTATTTTTGCAAGCGAAGACAATTTAGGATGTACGCGAACACACTGATGGATGGTTGCACACTGCACTCATTCGCGTTGGACAGCCGGGGTATAATTGAATTAGAGGATCACACATGCATGCGCGCAGCAGACGGCACGTGCGTCAAGATGTCACGTGACCCCCTATTAATTAACCCCTAAAATGTATTTTTCCCCCTTTACACATTCATAAACCTTACTTTAAAAAAACACGTTAAGTTTCATAAAATAAAATATGGGTCACAAGACATCTGGACCACCCAGGACTAATACGTAATCGTATTAAAACGCATACACACACAAGACAAAGGTCCGCCCTTTACCCCGCCCGTATAGCCGACACAGAATGTTCGGTCAAATTCTGTTAGCGAGCACCTATTAAGGTCGACACGGCAACTTGCATGAAGGGGGTGGATGGTATGACCAGAACCACGTCCAGCGGGAACCTCTCTCTCCCTGCTGCTGAGGTTTATACAATGCGTCCGGTATACTAATTTGAGGCTGAGTCGATCTAGGGGATGACCAAGACCGGTTAATACATCGCTCGCCATTGATGTTCACCGTGGCACGGGAATCGATCTCAGGTTGCATGCCCAGTTCGTAGCGCAGTCCGCCACTAAACGCGCCCTAACAGACTGTAGGGGCAAGTGCTGTTAGCGAGCACCTATGAAGGCCGGCACGGCACACGAATGGGTGGGTGGCCAACACCACGCCCGGCCGCCGTTGTCTCCCTCGTGGCAAAGTTTACACATCGCACCAGGTACTCATTTTGAGGCTGAGTCGACCTATGGTAGGACCGGTTCAGATAATCGTCACCGGTGTTGGCCGTGAGCGAGACCCGAATGCCGGGTCGCCAGGTTCGTAGCGCATCGCGCTCATCGCTACACTACCGCTCCCCACTTAGACAAACACACACAACCAACGACGCTCACCCTCACAGACACACTCAATCACTCACCTGCGCAAAGACACACACGCGCCCACGTTCACACTTTTACGCACGTCCGAAC